AATACTTAGAGAACATTGTTTCTTTAAATCGATAATTGACCTGTTTTATATTGGAACATCGTTTGAGGTCTTCCGGGATATTGTATCTCTCTATATACATTTAACTATATACATTTAACTTTCTCCATGTAGACACGGAAGTAACCTCTAAAACTCAAGATAAAAGTCAAGATGGGAATGATTAGAACACAGAAAATGAAATATAAAAAAAACTTCATGGATAGTGGGATGACAAACGTCCCTAAAATGTCATAAATGGACGGAACCAAAAGATGTAGCTACAAGCAAGTAATGACTACTTAAAAATATGCAGAACAGGTCCTTTTTTGACCAGTTTCAAAATACTTTTTTCAATGCTTCAGTATTGTAACAAACTCCTGCAAACAAGATGGCATTACAACAATATTGCATCCTGGGAAAAGCAATAAACTCTCCATCAAGTGAAATGTCAAACCCTCCGCCAGAAAAGTTTCATCCACGCTGTTTGGACATTTTGAAGGGGACTGAAGAACAGCTCAGGGCTCATTATCCTCTTTAGTGAGTGGAAGTCATGGATGGACGTTCTCTACATCCAGATTACGTAGAGGCTTAATGGTAAAGACTTTTATTAATGCAGAGGTTAACGTGCATTAAGACATCTGTTTGCAGAGATGGATGTCTGGCAACAATCTCCCCAATCCACTGAAACACATTAAGGTAAATAGCGCTCAGACCGAGAGGGAAATCACTGTGTCCGATGCATCTCGGCAGGCCATAAAATACTATGAATATAAAATCAGCTATGAATAAGTGATACGGGGCTACTTATTACAGTGGAACTTTAAAGTATTTCTGACTGTGCCACATCGTCAATATCTGTTAGTTCCTCATAATGTCATGTTAGTTTTATCATGACATAAATGAAAACATGCCGAAGTTAAGAATGGATACGGAATAAATCTGGCATATAAACTTCACATCTGACATCTCCCCGCACGCACAGAGCTGCTCTGCTAATTTGATGTAGTGGCATTTTCTTAGCTGGATCCTTGGGGTAAAAGAGCAGCAGATTGAGGGAGTGGAGGGGTCAGAAGACAGAGGTGCATGTGTGAAGGAGACATTAATGAACGCAGACAACAAAGGCTCTAACCTGAGCTGTTCCCTGGAGACGCACCAGGCTTTTTCATAGGGTCAATAAACCCACCAGAGCGTGTCTGCGGCGGCCTGCCCTTCAGCACCTGCTTAACTCCACCGGAAGCACTGCTGCTCAAGGTTGTTCAAGTTAAAAGAGGGACAAGATTGAATTTCAAATCTGATTATTATTATTCACAAGTGCAGCTGTCTGCGTCACAGAAACAGAAGCTGACATCTTGTTTGACTCTTACATCCTAATATCCAAGTTTGTAGCACTCTGTCAGTCAAAAGTAAGCCTGCATTTCAAAGATGAATCCGGATGAAATAAACTGTTGTTGATTTTATTTGAAAAACACAATTATATAATGTAATTTAATCTGGACATAATAATAATAATAATAATGCATCGGTTTTATACAGCGCTTTATTTGGACACTCAAAGAAGCTTCACATGTCATTGTTCCTTCACTTCATACACGGTGGTGATAAACTACTATTGTAGCCACAGCTGCCCTGGGGCACACTGACGTACGAAAACAAACATTTGAAACAACATTTAGTGATTATTAATGAAGGATCATTTCCAATTTTGACCACTGCCACCTGCACACAACATGAGTAATGATTATAAACATCTAATAGAATGTGTAAAGCTGAAAGGGTGAAATTTATGAATCTTAAAAATTGTGGCTTATCCTACATCAGAGCGAAAGCACTCCTCCCCCCGTCGGCTATTCATTATCATCTTTTGTTCTAACCATATATTCATGGACAATGCAAACCCTCAAACTCAAGTAAACACCTATATTCTAGTGCCATTTATGTCACACCCACCATTTTGGGCTTAAACAATCTATGGTTTTGTGCTCTCTATGACCTTTGTGTTTTTATTGTGATATTGTCTTTGTAACTACAGATATGAGCCATAAGTGTTGTCCAATAAGATGCCTTCATTCATGAGGGAACTCCAGCAATAGCAATCATGTTAGCAACATGTTGTGCGTAGGTCGCCCCTTCTAAGAAATGTCCATATAAGGAAATTTGCACCTGGTAGGTTTTGTTCTAATCTCCAACCATTCTGTCTATGGTTCTGAAAACCAGTCAAGACCATATGTTATTTTGCTACAACACTAAAACGACTCAGGGAGTACAGGGTAGGTCAAATATGACCCCTCCATCTAGAGCCCAAAACCCCACATATTAAGCCTCCAGGATGGAGGGTCGCAACACTGAAAACTTTGGAAACTTTTCTAAAAATGCATCAGTCCGGGGCGATGGAGAAAATCATCGACCTCGTGACCTAATCGATGAGGATGTGTACAGAGCCACGAGGACATATCCCAAAGGTCCCATCCTGATTCTCACCAAGCCCAGCCTCACCGTGCTTAGACTATGTAAGCATTTAACTTCTCACGGTGGTGTGGCTCCGCAATACTACCTGTTGTGTTATAACTTCTTATGCGTGCTGATACTGACCACTGCTCCAAACATTAGGAGCATCCCTTTTGTAAACCATTCTACAACATTATCTTGTGATTCACATGTTGGGAGCATCACAACATAACTTGGAGCAAATAAACACACAGTTGTACATCTGGAGGGTTTCATTCTTACCTACTTAACTGCTTTTGTCTCAAACAATAAAATACACTGAAGGAGGTTATGAAATAGTCAACAATACTGATGGTACTGTAATTGATAAATAAAATGTTGGCTTACAGATGAACATTGGTTTAAAAAAATAAAATAATATCAAGAAAAGAAAAGAAAAACACACGTACACAAAAGATGAATCCAACAATGATCCTGGTTGTTCACTGTCAAATGTGGAGGAATTCTGAGCATACAAAGGTGAGCCAAGATTGCCATCATGTGGCAAAACGATGCTATTGAATGTTAGACCTGAGTGTTAATTGTTTTGAGATGTGATGGTGAGCAAAAACATTACTGAGAAATATACAGTGACCAAAGGTACTAAACCTTTGGTCACTGTATATTTCTCAGTAGTTAACATTACATTACATTACATTTTCACTTTTGCACTGATAGCCACAGCTGCACACTCCAGATTCATGCTTTAGATAAATATCTCGTTGCATTACAATGAGAGCTTATTCCTTGAGTTTTGGTTTGATTTTAATATTTGTTATTTAAATTCATTACAATTCTATCCATAAACAAGAGCAAACGGAGACCTGCTGTTTGTCTCAGTTGTTTTTTAATCCAAAAAAGAAAACTCCTCTTCAGCCCATGATCGGTGTCTCTCTTTTTAATGCGAATAATCACGATTGAAATTGTTTTATTTCGGGGAACAGCCCTAATGGCAGTGATCTCTTTGAAGACCCTTGGTCTCAATGGAGGAGACATATTGTGCATTGTGTTTCAAATCTAGTTAAATCAGGCCCAGGTTTACAAACAAACACACACAAAGTTGATATGGTCGAGGTACAAAATATATATTGTACGATAAGCCTTGTTTTATAACATCAAAGAAACGATGAAAAACATCTTGTAGTGCAGACTGAATGATACACAGAGACCAATGTTGTTGTCATGGATCCTGCTCGAATGAATTATATAAAGTAAATGAATGGAGTCTGTGTGTAATGATCCATTGCTCACATACACATTATATCAGAGGGATTTAACCGAGAAATGGATCCAGCAGCATCAGCTGTAGCGCTCAGTCTGGTCCTCCTGGGACCACAGGCACACAAGCTCACTGCAATGACCGTGTTTTACATCGCCAATCTGCTACAGTGGGATCTCCCCTGCTTCAATCCCATGGATGATTAAGCATGATAATTAAGGTTTTTGGACATTTTCCACAGAGGAACAGACGAGGCAGCTGGTGACATTCATGCATTCCCAAACACAGAGGAGGGAATTACAATGGACTCCCCATTTATTTCAGTGAGCGCAGAATCTGGCTCCTGGCATCAGTTCAAAGCCACTAAAGCTGGTGTTGAAAAAGACTATTTGTAGCCAATGTAGGTAATGTACCTTGATCTATTGAGGGAGTCATTTAAACCACAAAAATAACTAAATGTTTGTTTTTCACGCAAAACCTATTTAGGCTAATACAATATTAGAATTATTGCAAATAGGCAGGGAGCATTTATGACCGTATCATTAGTAAAAGGATTAAGTAGTTGTTGCAAATGCAATTACTTGTACATTTGAATAAATATATATGCCTCTCAAAACTCAACAGGGTCAAAATGTACTGGGCTAGGGACAGTGGAACTTGGAATGCTTTCACAGGTGAAATTAAATGATATGGTCTTTTCAATCAGTCGTCCCCCAACTTTGTTTGCCCTGTATCCCCCTCATTTTGTAGAAACTATATTCAACAGTTATTTTTTTGCTAGAAAAAGTAGCGTTATATTTATTTTATATTGAATCCTGACATGTATCATGATATGTAGCAATGCACACATACCGAATTACTTAGTTAACATTAGTAGAAAATATTAATCATCAAGATGAGAACACAAACCTGAGAACTTTTGTTTTACAGTCAGAACTTTACACAGAAATAGTCATTCTATGTGAACAAAACTGTATATAAACAGTGAAATACTTTTATCTTTTTGTGTTTTATTTTGTGGGATGCTGGAGTCAGTTCTTTGTTGGAAAAAAGTTTCCTTTTGTCCTTTAATTCGATCTCCATTCCAAATGAGAGTGTAATATACACTTGTACATTATCAAACATCATACCTTTGACGAGAAGAAGAGGAACGCGTGGTTCAGTCACTAGTTTGACTCAATGTCCCAGAATGCTTTGTTTTAACGGAAGTCGCGAGGGCTCCATGGAAACAGCGCTTGGCGTGCTACATGCTAACCACAGCTAGCTTGATTGGCAATAGCCGTGTTGTTCTGATGTCATGATGAGCCGCACACCAGACGCCAGGGCGCGGTGAGGATTCTGTGTTTGTGTTTTCATTCTGCGTTTCTCGTTTTTAGTGTAAACAGCTACTGCTCATATTCACAGGTTATCGTTAGTTAAGCTAAAAACACTGATGCTAAATGCAAACTATCATTAACGTCAGTTAACTAGCTTCGCTTAACGCTAAACATATCTAACTAGAAAGTTACTCCAACGCCAGAAGTATTCCTGCCTCTTCTTTCTCTAGTCTAATGACCTACGATCTTATAGTCTATATGGTCACATATATATTACTAACGATAGGTAATATGCTACAATTGTCTATTACTAATGACATTGTGAAATGCCTTTTTTATGTAGAGACGTGGAGACTCGCAAAATCCAGGAGAGCATCACTAACGTGGAGAAGTACTTTGGAGAACTGTGTCAACACTTTGCTGGCTATGGGCGGAAAACTGCCAGATTGCGTGACAAAGGAGATCTGTTGGTGCGGTTGATTGGTCAGTATGCAGACACTGAAACGCCAAATCTTAAAAGCGGCATGAAACAATTTACTGAGAACTTGGCCAAAGTCCAAGACTATCGCCATGCTGAGGTACATGTCATACTTTTATACACATCCTTCAGTTTGAGGGACAAAAATACATGATTCTTTCTGCTATGTAGGTGGAAAGACTTGAAGCCAAAGTCATTGAGCCATTAAAAACGTATGGCACTGTGGTACGAAGACAAAGAGTAAGTGTCCCAAATAGGTTATATGATTATTTCATTTTGAATATTGAAAACTGATAAATTTCTTCCCATGTAGGAAGATCTGAAATCAACACAGAATGCCAGAGACCGAGAGTCCAAACAGATGGCTCAACTTGAGAGGGCCAGACAGCGAAACCCCTCTGACCGGCAGATCATTGTATCCTTACGCAGGGATCCAGACGAGCACTTGTGCACTGTTTTCTGGTCCACCAGACATTTCACATATTCCCACACATCCTACACATCCTACATGTCTATAATTAAATCACTGTTCATTTTACAACATTTAATCAACACCATTTAAATAGAGAAAAAGTGTGCCAAAAGATGTGGTTTGAATATACTTTATTCAATGATATGTTCACCAGTCCATTGCTGGGCTGTAAGCCAGAGGCAGACAGCACCACAGTAATGTACTCATTTCATGCAAGTACATCAGCTAACGTTTTGTTTTTCTCAAGAACAAATTACACTCATAAGCTGGACACTTTTGTTCTCATATTTGTAAGCGCCTCAAGGAATGGCAGCTTAATTATTGTTTGGGTTTGTTTTAAATCATTAAAAAATGAATGACAATTTTTGCCTTCACAAATCTTCAGTCACTGGTATGTGTCTTGCATGTGTGCAGCAGCGGTAATGTATTAATTACTTCTTTCAGATTTCTCATTCGTATATATCTATAGATCATTAAACACGTGACGCTCTGTGGATCATGGATGTATTGTAGCGTTTGTGTGGCTTTACGTCAATGGGATTCACACACTTTGATGAATGTATTCATTTGTATGACCACAGGGGGGCGATGTTTACTACAGTGTGCAAACCTGCAAGAAAATATATCCCTGAAAAATTGATGGCAAACATAATAATCATTAAGAAATAAAAGCAATTCTTTCGTAAATGACAAAGGGACATATTTTATTTGTGGATCTTACAATGATTTTGGTATTTTTCTACTTTGAGGCTGAAAGTGAGCTGCAGAGGGCTACAATGGATGCCACCAGAATCACCAGGCACCTGGAAGAAACAATTGATGATTTTGAAAAGCAGAAAATTAGAGACATTAAGGTACAATTTGGTATTTTCTCATTAAGGTTATTGATCTTATTAAGTCCTATCTTTTTGCAGAAAATCTTTGGAGAGTTTGTGAACATCGAGATGGCGTTTCATGCTAAGGCGTTGGAGCTGTACACCGTGGCCTTCCAGAGTATTCAGAGTGTGGATGAAGAGGCAGACCTGGAGGTAGGTTTGAACTTACCGTAAGTTTCTGATTCATAAAGACATTCTACATTCCACACATTTTCCATGCTTTTGTTGTTAATTATAGTCTGTTTGTTGACTGAATTTAGCTGTGTTGTCCTGCTTGGTCTAGAGAATGTCACTTTCAAAATGCAGTTTATCCAGCCTACATCAGACGACCTGATAAACATGAATCATTGCTCATACACGCGCTGTCCACACCCTCAAACTGATGTGGCAACAACTCACCACAAGAGTTATGTGGGTTACTTTCAAGAGTTAGGGTTAGGGAGAACAATGCACATTTTGAAAGGAACCAGCTGCCTTTTGCTCTAAATTGTCACTTCTTGCATACGTATTTTAACTCTTAATTGCACTTCATCCTTCAGAGAAACGTCACTCCCCCATAAGTACGTTTATGTTAAGTTCGTAATTATATAACGGAGAGTACTCTGAGGAAACTGATGCAGACACAGGGAGAACATACAAACTCCACACAGACAGGCCTCCTCTTAAGGCCGTTATCAATGACTGACAATGAGTGACATAATGATCATGCTGACCAAGAGCATAGATGAGCACAGACAAAATCCTAAATAAAATACTTAAATTTCACACCAGAACACACTACAATCTTATCGTTGTATTTAATAAAAGCGCAGATGAACAGAGGATAACTGCCAGAAATGTTGAGTGGACTTAATCTTTTTTCCTTTGAGGAGAAGTACAGTGCCTGCTACTGTCTCAGCAGGTGTTCAGGACCTCACTGCACCCACCAGAATTCCCGTCTCGCTTAGACATAGTTCGAGCTAATTCCCAAATGTCCCTCAATCGCACTGAGTCCTTCATGGGAACTTCAGGGTCTACACAGGTAAGAAAGATGAATCACAGACTCCATATTAAATAATTTCTTATGAATATACATGTTCTAAATGTTGCTAGGAGGTACATTAACTTAACAAACATCATCTTGCACTGTCAATGCATTGTGTGTTTCATTGCATGTCCATTTCCAAAACACTACATGCATTTTCTAATGATCCATGTTTTTATAATGTAATCCAGACTTTGTGCCAATGTGCTGTTTCCTCAATGGTTTTGGGGATGACGTACTGTGTTGCAGATAAAAATTGATGCAATCCGCTTGTACAACACGCTGACCTGATTTGACATATTTGCAATAGTTACTGCCACTGAAGACTTTCACAGACGTGTTCAGGAGCAGTAAAAAATGTGATCCTTTGACCAGAGATTTATGTTAGTGCAAAATATCGTTTTTTTATCATAATTTGATTAATTCTGCAGATCACTTTTAAAATTTGTGAAAGAATAATAGAATAATACTATCATGTGTGGTCAGTGTCCGGTCTTTTCTACAGACACAGAATTCCAAAAATATGGACTTGGACATGACGGACTTTTGAAAAATAGAGTTTATAAAATGACTTTCATTTCTGCTGCAGCATCAAGCAAGTATTCGTCAGGTGAGGAGAGAGGCGGCCAATGATGAAGACGACTCTGAGGACGAATCAGAGGAATCCTCAGAAGATGACAGTTAAAAATATTAAAAAGCATTTCATATGAACAACTACAGACACCTCGCCAAAGTTCTCAGTATTTTTGTTTGTTTTAGTCCGTGATGTCCTGTAATGTGTTTGATGCCGTGGATGCCATTTTGTTTTTGTCACCTGTGTCTTAATCTACTGCATGTAAAATATCGGTGGGCCATTGAATAGTTTTTTTAATCGCAACTTTAAGTGTCTTCTTTGCTAATAAAACCATTTAGAAAAGAAACTATCCATTGTGGTGTTTCGATTTTTAAATAACGACTATATACCAGGTGTTGATCTAAATGCATCTTTTTTATTTTGCGTATTCCACTTGTGTGTGTCGCTTGTTCCACATGAGTCACTCCGCGTTTGTCATTGAGCGGCTCGTGTCACTGCAGATCTACCACGGCACGAATAACGCACTCAGACAGCGATTTGTGATACAATGATTTATACACATAGAGAATTGACCTATGGGCCACAAAACACGTACACGTACAGTACTGTTAAATGTGTCTTCACCCCACATTGTTTTCATTCTTCTGCAGCATTTTATAGAGCCTGTAGTTTAAAAATGTGGCGGTCTTAGTTTAGAGATAAGTTCTCTGTAATCTCTGGGTCAATCCACATGAAACAAAAACAGTCACAAAGGTTAATCGGCAGTGCCAGTACATATCAACTCTGGTCTAAGTATTATATTCTCATAAAAGCTGCCTATAAGTGATGACAATATCTGCTAGTTTTTACAGATGGAAACTGTCTGTCTTCAAGCTTAATGTCTCTGTACATCAGGGGTCTCCAACCTGTGGCTCGGGGGCTACCTGTAGCTCGCCAGCCCCTTTCAGGTAGCTCTCCAAAGGATTTAGAATTGAACAAATAATCCTTAATGATTAACTTTTGCATCATAACACATCTATTATAAGTATAAATATAGGGTTATACATTATTATGGTATTTTTCATCTGTTTTTTCATAATTATTATCTCTGCCTCTTCTGTCTCTCCAATTGGAAAAGGTTGGAGACCCCTGCTGTACATTGTCCCTTCAAATAAAGACTAAACTATTTTTAAAAACATCCATGATTTTAACCCTAAGACTGACAGACATAAGAATAATATGGCAGGTTTGTGCATTTAAACATTCGGACATTTGATTTTTCCAAACTTCAGTTGCATTGGCACCTCCCCTCCAATGCAACCTACTCTATATTTTGTTTACATTTGACATCCATTGGCTCCCTGTGTGCTGGCCTACCGCCAGAGGTTGAGAAGCACTGATCTCTGCTCTTCCCTTTTTCTTTAGCTCCATTATCATCATCGTTATAATGTACTCACTGAAATATTGCATGCCCTTCCAGATATATGTGGACCTGTGGCTGGCAGAACCTTTTGACTTATGGCCTCTATTTTGCAGAAGGTACAATGTGTAAAATCAGCCCCAGTGTCCTGCCCTCCTGACTTTGTGAATTACAATGGCAACACCAGATGACTCATCCCTATAAAGTGTGTTTGTGTGACTCAGAGCAAGCTTTTCAATCGCATGTTAACCTGAAAGCTCCACTCCTCATTCCCAGAGTGGACAAAGGCCGCTGACCTGTCACAAAGAAGGGAACAAATAGACCGAGAGTGGTGTCAGAAAGACTAATCCAGAGTCAAAGCAACAGAGGCTGAGGCAAAAGGGCTCCGGTGAGTCACTGATTGTAAAAAAAAACAAACAGATCCTTGTTGCCAAGAACCAGATTTGAAGAGAGAGAGGAGAGGATGAAAGAGGTCAGTAATGTCCTCCTGCCATTATCACTGGCTATGACTCAGAGCCCCTGAGTGCAATACCAGAATTATGAAGCCAAACAGCGTGTCGGCTATATATGATTATTTTCAGTATGAAGCAACCTCTAAGGCTAACTAACATGTTTTGGAATATATACTGTACTGTACATTTCATGATATATAAATGCAAAAAAAGATAAACTAAAAAAGCACTCGTAGAGCACAGACCTCCTCCAAGTGGCACAGTACCATTCTCTTAAAAACAAAAGAAATCCTGCATCCAGACTTTGTGGGCTGGGCCATTGTGCACGTTTTGTTCAAATCTTTTTCAAAACCTTTGGAGTCACATTGCTCACCGACAAACAGACAAACCCAGGTGAGCAGCTCCTGGGCAGAGGTATTGATATGTGGCAGTAGCTGACAGGAAATGAGCCAAAACTAAAATCTGTCAGCATCCTTTATGAATGATTGGCGCATCCCTAATTATTCGGTCACTCATGCTATTGTCCTTATCGCCACTAGAGGGAGGTATTTTCAAGTCCTGCTAACAGATCCATGGCTGAGTAATTGAAGAGACACTGGTGTTTGGAGACAACATGTTCTTTCCACAGTTTGGAAGATTAATTCAATGTAAATACAAACAATGGCCCTGTAGCGATACACAATTTACCCATAGCTTATTTGTGGACTACCTCTTCGCACAGACCTGAATAAGACAAAAGCACATCACATGATTATCAAGAAGGCTTCGTGACTAAAACTGTTTACATTGTAGATGCAATGCACTGAAATCTCACACAGAATGTCTTTTATGCTTTAGCATCTATAGCCATCTGATGCAATTGAAATGCAACAACACAAAATGCTCGTGTTTATTATAGGCCAATACTCATAACAACTATTTATCCTTAAGGATTTGAGTATGTTAATCTGTGCGTGTGGAGATCATTAGCTTGTTTGTAATATGAGCTTGAGTTTGCGTGAATGTGGTGCTGGCTGTAAAAGTGAAGCCGCATAGCCTTGGTCTGAGTCACAGCCTGAGTCACTGACAGCGCTGCCATGGCATGTGTGTGGAGCCGGACCTCTACCTGCTCCCTGCAATGAGCTGCAGCTGGGGCTTCTGGGAGCTGCCCTTCTGTGTCACCAGGACATGCCCCATAAGTGCTGCAGAGAATAGGACACAGAACAGTTGCAGGATTTACAGAAGAAGAATTATTGTAAGGCTTTTGCTGCAAACTGCCCATGGGTCCAGTGTGAGTGAGGAAAGTAGTGCAGGTCTGACACAGTGTCTGTTTTCATAGCATAGTGATGTCAACTTGCAAAACTTGGACAGAAATGAAAAGCCCAAACTATTCAAAGCCTGTACTTGCAAAAGATGTTTCATTTTCATGGATTTGCACGCTTTTGATAAAAAAAAACTTGATATTTTTATGTCTCAAGGTGTCTTTTGAGATTGAGGATCCACTGCTTTAATGGAGATTTCCATGTCTAACTGCTGCTTGTCTTTAAAGATATATGTCTAAAGGAACATTTAATTAAAAAAAATACAACTTAAGCAATCATGGATCACATTGCATCTCAGAATTATTATATATAATAACAATAAAATATAATACCCAGAGGTGGCATGACAAAAAACTGGTAAAAGTATTGAAATCATTCCCTGAGAGTACAAGCTTTCAGAGGGACGGACTGGACCATAGACTCATCTGAGACTTTTTACGCATCGCTTTTAAACACCTAAACAACATTATACTGCTGAGAAATGTTTAGTCGAAGCGTGGCTAACCCTACCTTAACGTTCAAGCTTCAAGAGACAGATATTTGGATGTTTGGCCGATACGGATCACCCTCTAAAGGAGAGTGTAATCCATTTTATATTGCATTCTCTTATGTATGTTTATTTTGTATGTAAATTGCTGATTAATTTTTAGGACCCCAGGCAGCATGGCTAACCACTTCAATCCTGTTTTTCACCCCATGTCACATCTGAAAAGCCAATTATCATGTTAAAATCCAAGGAGTAGAAAGTGCAGATATTTGGGTTTGAAGTAAGGAGTAAAAGTAAGAGGAGCAAAGTACTGATATCAGGGAAAAATGCAGAACAAATTGCTTCAGTGAAAATACTTGCCACCTCTGGGAATTCCTTTACTCACATATTTCTATACTGTCAGGCCTCCTCGCTGACAATGTTTAAAACCAGGTTAAAAACAGTTCTGTTTAGCTGTGCATTCAACTGAGGGATTTTATATTTGTATCTTTCTTTTTAATGTTCTGTGATTATTTATGATTTTAATGCTTTCTTATTTTGTTCAGCACTTTGAATTGCCTTGTATATGAATTGTGCTATACAAATAAACTTGCCTTGCCTTACTGTGCCACTTAATATCAGGCTCTTTTCTGTCAAAGCCTTCATCATGTATAGCCCTAGTTTCGACTTGAAATGCAGCGTCTCCTGTCAGTGTAACTAACCGATCTGTACAATTCTTAGTTCAGGGAAATGGCGTAAATCAGGCCCAGACCAGACAGCTTTCAGGTGTCAGCTCAAAATGTGTACCATGTGACCGTGATAATGCAAAAGGGAACAAGTTATTTATTTACTGAGTTTGGAGTCTGGGAGTGGCAGCGATTGGAGATCTCCACTCAGCACAATTCATGAAGAAGAGGGAAGTGATCGTGGGAGAATGATAAACATGAAAATATGATAAGGCTGCTGTCTGACTTTGAAATGTCGTGGTAATGTCCAACGCAGCACACTTGGCCCGTGAGAAAAGTTTAGGTTGATTTGAATGCGTACATAATTATCACAATTATCATGCCTGTTTTAGTATTTGTTATTTTCAATGCCATTTAGACACTGCAAAATATTCAATTTTATTTTCTGGGTGTGTGTTGCATAGCCAATTATTATTATGCAGACAGAGCACAACATACAATTGGTGAGCCATTTTCAGTCAAAAATCAGTGAGAAATCAGCCAATTTATGAAGTCTAATTATCTCAGAATTGTTATTTACAATGTTAATCCACCGGTGTTAAACATAAGAGCAGATCAAATCATTCTTTATTTTCATTTTTGTGGTTACTCTTGACAATTATAGGTACTTTCTAGCCTGGCCTTAGCCATCCGTAAACTCCGGTCAATTATTACTTCCCTACAACTGAAATGTGTACAATGGTGTGGTAAGACCAGGCTAGGTACTTTCTAATGCAGGGGAAAATACCTTGAACTGGAACCAATGTA